TATTTTTTTTTAAGAAATAGGGTATATACGCTCATTTTGTACATAATGATACATTTTTACCCCTATATTTAACCTTATTGTCCTTTTATTTCTGTTTTATTTTGTCTCTATTCTATTTTTATTATAATATTTGTAAACCCCCCGTTTCCCTTAACATAACCAGTATATTGCTTTTGTTTGCCTTGGGGGGGTTTGAACTTGCAGCCCTCGGGGGTTGGGCATATTCTGCTGGTGGTGGCTGTTTTTCCAGCTCAGAGTTATGCTTGCCGAGTCAACTATGTAACATTGTTTTTATTGTTTTTAGTTTTACAACTATATGTCCTTTGACCTTTGAAACGTCATGTGACCTCATTTAAGGTAAAAGGTCAAATATGACACCATTTTTAATTTGATGATTGTTTGGATCTTATATAAACCCACATGTGCCAGGCTAACATTATGTACACTTGAAGAAGCCCCTTGTAGCTTCTGACTACCTCATCTTTTGGTTAGTCTCTTTAATTTTAAATACTTTTATATTTATCCTAATTTTTTTACCTGGCATATCCTAACATCTGAAGCTTTTATACGATCCAAAGTATCCATGGTTGGGATTGTTCCACCCAGGCGCTTTACACAGAGCGGTTTGTCTGCTCTGTAAATTGTAAGTACATCTCCTATTTTATCCAGCACTTTTTTAATATAGAGAGCACTATGGGCCTTCTCTTGTGTTTTTATTTCATATGACCTGCACTGCAAATATCGTCAGAGGAATATCCTACATGTGGGGAGTTTAAATACCACTGTATGCTGTATTTCTAGAAGTACCCCAAAAACACATCATGCTCCCCTGATAGCCCCAATCTGGGGGAGCAACATACTGAAAAATCACCCAGATCGGTTCAGGGGTTTGACAGTTTTATGGAGGTCTTAGTTTTATCGACCGCACACGAAGGTGTAAGCCGACAATAGTTCCATGTGTTTGGGCTGTGGGGTCGGTCTCTATTTCGAGAGTCTGAAATACACGAAAGCGCTTAAAAACATGGTTCGTTCAACTCATATCGTTCATGTGATTCCTTTCACCGAATGCCGCTCTGTTCCCCTGAGCTTACACAAACTTACACGAGGATGGAAGTGTGGCGGAACCTACCTCGCCACTGTGCACTGGAGTAACCTGGTTGCTCGCCTGCTCCCTTTAGACTATGGCCCGGCAGTTCAGACCTGTTATTTTCCCTGCTGAAAGGCTTATTCGTGCCTTTCTGCCGGGGGTTCGGTAGATTCAATCTACCGAACAAAGTACCGAACGATGGACCACCTGGGAACTGGAGTGTGCCGTCAATTCACTGCCCAGAAGCTGCGGTTAACCGCAGCTTAATTGACGAACGCTGGGTGGCCTTTGTTCGTTTGCCGAATACATGGCAGCGGCCATTTTACCTCCCGAATAGCTAGCGGTGTTCAGCGCCCAAACTATGGAACTGAAAACGGACACTTATTTGTGCGAATACCGCTGAGCCGCCAACCTCCTTACCTCTGCATTCGGTAGTGGAACCGAATGACTGTTCATTCGGTAGTTTAACCGGATGAACAGCATCACCCCTGATAGCTAAGCCATGGAGCCCATTTGTGTAACGAAAGACTATGGGAAAGACTTTGGCTCCATGGCGATTGAACTGTATGTATGTGATCTGAGTGCCATTCGGTAATAATGTGCGCTCAGATCTAAGCTATCTGGGGATATGTAGAATGTATTTGTTTTGTTAATTATTTGCAACAGTGGGTATTTTTGAGTCTTTTTATTAATATGTGCTCAATGGAGTTTTGCCTCTGTCCTGGGAGATAATTGGATTTCTTCCCAATTATCTCCAGGATAGAGAGGAGGGACTGTGATGCATTGTGGGTGTGTTTAAAGGTGTATGTCTGTGATTGGTCAATGTCCAATATGTTTCCCAGTCTTCCATCTGGTCCCCTAGGGGAGTGTCCACCAGGTGGAAGACCTGCATAAAAGCCGGGCAGGTAGCCCCAGTAAATCAGTTCTGCTTGACCTCAAAACGAAGTGTCGTCTCGTTATTGGGGGAATTGGATTGTATGCTGATTGCCAAGAGTGTAAGCTGATTGTATGCCTTTCCTGTTCGGCTGTTTCCAGTATTCGTGTGTTTCCTGTTCAGGAGTTGGAGGATTCGTGTAGTTTGCAGTTCGGGAGATTGGTGTTTACAGTAGCTGTCTGTGCATCTGGAAAGGGGAATATCGCCTAAACGGTTTTAACCTCTTGTGTGCAAAACGGTCCGTTACAGGAAGTCTCTGCGGCGTTTGTGCCATTGAGTGTCCAATTTGGGTTCCAGAAGATGAACAAACACCGCTTGTGTCATTCGTATTCTAAGATGGCCACCGCCACGTGTTCACATAACGAACGGCAGCCCCCCAGGGGATCACTCCAGTTAGTTTGTGTGTTTGTAATTGAGAGAGTGTGAACCAGGTTAGTGAGATCATTTGGCACCACGCTCCTCTCATGGGTGGCCTGGTTGTTCGGTACTTTTCGTTTGTTGAACCCTATAGTGAATATAGCTGAAAGGGATTCTTACTGGGCAACCAGACGAATGATACAAAATAATAGCTTGTTACTTGTTTCTACAAGTAACAAACAGTTACAATCCCAGGAAAATAAAGCAACAAAAGGGTATGGACAGCCCCTAGTACAAATAGAAGTGTTGTGGCAAAGCCCATTCTGCTATATGGACGACACACAGTTCTGGGAGTTCAACTGACTTTATTCTGCCACACACGGCTTTTATGCACTGGCACCTAGCATGGGGTTTACAGATCAACGGAGTCTTTGTGTTTGAGAGATAATTGA